ATTCCTCCACCCTGGCCTCCTCCGCCAGGTTCATCCACCTTTGGGCTTCCGGCCATGGCCAGCCTCATCTTGGCGCAGGCCCTGAGGTCCACTCTGGGACAGCTGTCAGAGGATCTGCTTCTCCTGCCCCAGTGCGCTGATGGCAACTGGCGGAGTTCTAATCACTGTAAATTCAGGTGCCGGTCAGATTAGCCAGAGAGAGGATGCCTGCTGGCTGTTTTGCAGGATGTATTGTTTGTGGATTAATGTTCCGAATGGCGAGGTGTCAGCTGGTATTTATTACTGTGAGCTGTCTCAGCTGTTCGGGTTCCGTGGCCACAGAAAGCACCGGGCTCTCGTGGCATGTGTGCCTGGTGGGTGCGAATGTGGCAGGGCCCCGGTGGGTGTGGGTGTCCCAGAGGCAGAGAAAGGGAGTCGTCTAGGGAGCCACCTTGCATTTCATTCCGGGCATCTGAGAGAACTCTGCACAAGGGCGGGGAGCCCCTGGGGCAGGGGACAGCATCCAGGTGTGGCTCCAAAGGGGGTTGAGAAGGTCATCTCGGACAGACCTGGCATCGGGAGGAATCGGGCCACCTGGGGCCGGAGGCATTGTGCAGTTTTACCTCCACCGCTCTCCAGCCTTGAAAGAGAGGACACTTTGAAGGTCACTGTGCCTTTAAGGGAACTTTCTCCCCAGTCCCTCAGCTTGGTAGTGCTTTAGCTCCCAGAAGCGAGTGCGCGTTCCCACTGTGCGTGTCTAGTAACACACACTGCAGTGGGTTTGTTTTTCCAAAAAGAAATTTAATTTAACCCGAGTGTACACTGTCACACTGTAAACACACTGGGGCACCAGAAGGGTGGCTTATTGAATTTAATACCCTAGCAAAGGTCAGCTTTTAGAAAAAGCCAAAAATGGCTGGAATCTTTCCTGATCGCTCCTCAGTCGGGCCTGGATCCAGGCAGATGTGTTTATTTTTTCAGAGGGAGTTCCTGAGCACCCATCTCCAGTTCAGAGGCTGGGCACGCCCCCTCCCAGCTCCCTGGGGTGCTCTCTGAGACCTCCTTTCTCCTCCCCAGGAGGAGGTCACTGGTCTCTGGTCCCCAGGTGGGCCCGTGGGGCCACTGTGCGATTTGAATCCTGGACCCAGCAGCAGATTAAAAAACAAAAGCAGACAAACCAAACAAGGGAACCCTCTAAAGCTGGTGGTCCAGGCAGGAGGACCCAGGACTCCCGGCCCGTGCCTCGCCTCCTGGTCTGAGATGTGGGTGCCTTTCTTAAAACTAACACTGACTTTTTCTGCCCATTTCCCTCAAAGGATGGCATGAACTGGGTCTGCAAAAATGTCAATGCAAAGAAGAAATAAAATCTAGACGAATGGAGACGCAGGAGCTGCGGGAGCCGAATTCAGTCCTGAAAAACACTAATTTGCTGCTTTCTGACCAAATGTTTTCCCATCTGTGTACAGCTACAGCTGTTTGAAGAGAGGGAACAACACAGTTTAAAAAGAATCCCCATTCCAGCAGTAGATTTCACTGATCTCTGAGGTTCAGTATCATTTTTCAAATAAAGGAATTATATTATTTCCTCTGCATAATTGAAATAGTATTAAATGTCTCCAAGCACATGATTAGAAAATGAGATCTTTTAAATGAGCAAGAGATTGCATTGCAGTTTAGACAATTCCAGTGGGCTTTTTTGCTTTAAAAAAAAAAAGAAAAAGAAAAAAAGGAAGAAGAAGAAGAAGAGGAATAAACAGCTTATGCTGAGTTCATTTATTTCCTGGCCTGTCCCTTACCTCCCCTCTGAGGCTTTGAAACCATAGACAGCGTTTGCTGGTGCTGGTCAGTGATTTTTGTTCCACCATCACCAGCTGAGCCAGGGCCTCAGCCCATCCAGCAGGAAGCTGGGGGCGGCTGGAGCAGAGATAATTAAACCATCTTGTTATGCAGGTAGGATTCTGCGTGTGTAATCTTCACCCCTTAGACAGGAGGAAAAACAACACCCTTTCCTGCAAACAAGTCACTACAAAAACGCACCCCAGCCCCAGCAGCCCGCCACGCCAGCCACACAGGGAAGCGAATTCTTGGGACTTTTGACTATAATGACATCTGGAATGTAATGGGAGGTGGGAGGTTTAATTCCAGAAAAATGACAAGGTCCTTAGGAAGCCCTCGCATGGAGGGCTCGGGCTGGCGTAAACAGGCTTTCTCCAGTTCAGTGGAGCAGTGAGCAGCCGACTCAGATTAGCCGGCTTCTCCACACAGTCCTATAGAAGGGATTTCTAAAGCTCAAAGAATTCTGTGTTTAAATGATCACAATAGGCCGCTGCTATCAGATTTTAAAAATAAATGCAGCTATACCATGAGCCTGCTCCACTGAGAAAAGTCAGGCAGATCAATTTTTAGAAGAGATCAATTTGTCCAGTGCTGGCAACTTGGTGCGGGATGCTCTTGGGCGGAGAAAGGGGCTTTGCTGCTGGGAAGGACGTGGGCGTAAGCGATTGCAAGAGGTCGGGTCCAGGGAGGCCAGAGTCACTCCAGCTGATGGTCTCGTCTGCGTCTGCTTCTCCGACTAAACGTGTCCTCTGCTGATGGATGGGAGAGGATGGCAGAAGGCTCCTCCTGCCTTGCGTGGCAAAAAGAGCTTGTTTCCCCGAGCCTGAGAAATCCCCAGCTCCAAACAGGAGAAAGCCGGCCAGAGCTTCGCCAGGCTCCTGAATTCGATTCTGTTCTGGTGCCTGAGCTCGGGGGTTTTCCAAGAATGAATAAGGCTGTCCAGTGCCTGGTGGGTCCCGGGAGGCCAGCCACCTTCTCATCCTGGGAGGTGGCCCTTCCCAAACCCTCCAAGGCATGTGAGCAGACCAAAGGGACCACCCCAGCAACGCCCCCGGCCGGCAGTACCCAGCCTTTTCTGGACAAGAATTATGCAGGAAAGACTGAAGCAGGGCCGTTTCAAAGGCAGTCTGGAGTGAAAGTCATTAGCAAAGAGAGCATGGAAAGGTGCCCTGGGGTTGCTGTGGACAGACCTGTAAGGACTTGCAAAACAAAAGCGGAGGGTTTTCAAATCTGAGCTGTTGCTGCCCGCAACCTCCTCACTGACTTCTCTCTCCCCCGGCTCCTCTCCTGTTTTGAACAGCAGCAAAACAGAATGATAAGGAATCAGACGCCCCTTCCACCAGCCTGGAAATGTGGCTGTAAGCACTTAAAAATCCTTTTACCTTCCAAATAATGCTCCCGGGGTGTTCCGTGAGGGGCACATGCCTGCCTTGAGCTGCGACTTTGGGAGCACCGCAGTGTGGAGCTTGGACTCTGGCAGGGCATGGTCCCTAACAGTTTGGTTCTCTTACCACCAACTTAGGGAACTGTCAAAGAGCCCTCCCAAGGCCGGCTAGCAGGCAGAAGCCTCTCGCTCTCCTCTCCTCTGATCACAGCCTGTGTAAATGTTCCGATTTGCTTTGCAGCTAGAGACACAGGGACATTGTGGATGTCACACGCTTTCATCTTCCTTTTGAGCCCTATTGAACCCTCCTGGGGCTCAGGGGGTAGATGAGAGAAGCCTGAAAAACGCAGTTTGAAAGCTCCCATTTGTAAAAACAAAATGCTTTTAAAGTCCCTTTTTCTCTCCCCAGCCCCATCCCGCCCCCTGTGGCCATGACGGGAAGACAGAACTCGAAGCTAGAAAGGGGATACCCCTCTTCCCCTCCTCCCACCCGCGAGGAGCCTCAGTGAGGCTTCAGCTCTGCGCACGGCTGCGTCTGAATGTGCAGGGGAGAGGCTGGGGCCAGAGGGCAGGCCAGGCCTGGGACGGGGCGTGATGTGTGCTCTAACCAGTTGTGGGAAAAACTCGAGTTCTCCCCTCCTCCCAACCTACCCGTGCAGCCGCTTTTGGCTGGATTCCCCGCGCCCCGGCGCGATACACCCTTTCCCCTTCACCCTCCCTTGGTTACTATGGAAACAAGGGTGTCATTGATGTGGGCTGAGCTGGGGAACATGTCGGCGCACAGCTGAAAGTCAGCGATTATGCCGGCGGTGAGACTGTGCCAGGGTTAAAGCAGTCCCGGCTCCCACGGCTGCTGGGGGACACAGTCCTGCCCCTGCCTCCAGGCCCTCCTCCGTCTCCACTCCTCTCCACTCCTCTCCACACCGGCCTTTGACAGATTTCTTTATTCCCCTCTGGACTAAAGTGGTGGCTATTTTTGTGCCACTTTGTGCCCCACCCTCACTGTTGGCCACTCCTTATCCGGCCTGGCCTGGAGGGTGACACCATGTCACCCTTGCCAGGACTCGTCCCTCGATTCCCGTCAGAGTTTGCTTTGATTCCTCTCTCCTTCCCTTCTCGGGGACCACTTCTGACTCCCTTTTATTTTTAGCTCTGCGCTCCATGTGGTTTCAGGGTTCAGTCTGATCCATCGAAAGGTTCTTTTTTTATAGTCCCTTTTGAAAATGATAATCAAAGGAAGGGACGTGGTGTTTGGTCATGTGGAAAACGCAATGTATAATTTAGATGTCTGTCAAAAACCTGAGGGTTAAACGAGTCCCGGCTCCCACGGCTGCTGGGGGACACAGTCCTGCCCCTGCCTCCAGGCCCTCCTCTGTCTCCACTCCTCTCCACACCGGCCTTTGACAGATTTCTTTATTCCCCTCTGGACTAAAGTGGTGGCTATTTTTGTGCCACTTTGTGCCCCACCCTCACTGTTGGCCACTCCTTATCCGGCCTGGCCTGGAGGGTGACACCATGTCACCCTTGCCAGGACTCGTCCCTCGATTCCCGTCAGAGTTTGCTTTGATTCCTCTCTCCTTCCCTTCTCGGGGACCACTTCTGACTCCCTTTTATTTTTAGCTCTGCGCTCCATGTGGTTTCAGGGTTCAGTCTGATCCATCGAAAGGTTCTTTTTTTATAGTCCCTTTTGAAAATGATAATCAAAGGAAGGGACGTGGTGTTTGGTCATGTGGAAAACGCAATGTATAATTTAGATGTCTGTCAAAAACCTGACAAATAAAATCTAGCTGAAGCGAAGGCAGCCTGGAATGTGCCGTTCTTTGCTGAAGCGGGGAGAGGGCTGGAGTGTCCTCCTGCAGCTGGCCCTCCTCAAGGTGCCTTTTCAGAGGAGGTGCACCCTGGGCGCCAGGGCCGGCCGGCGGTTCCCTCGGCGGCGGTTCCCTCGTTAAGCTCCTCCTCTGGGCCAGGCACTTCTCAGACCTCACGGGGCGGCTTTGGTCCCACTTTCCATTTGGAGAAACTGAGGCATTGGCCTCGGCTGAGGAATTTGCTCAGGATCACAGAGCCCTGTGGTGCAGGTGGGGCCTCAAAGCAGGGTGTGAAGGCTCGGCAAGCTGCCACCTCTGCAGGGCAAAAGCAGCAGTCTGCTGCCCCCACCTCATCCCCTCGTCCCCGCATCCTTATGCACCAAGGGTGTCCTGCCAGCCGATCCGTCCCAGCTGTTGGGTGTCTCTCCTCTCTGCGGCGCACCACGGATCCTGTACATCCTTGACAGAGGTCCAGCCCCGCACAGGAAACCAGGAGCAGACACAGGGAGCCACGTGAGGAGCCGGCCCATGGTGTGGTGGTTGCGGCCATCGGAGGGCCTGGGCCCAGAGACTTGAAAACCATTCCAGGCACATGTGCACGCATGCCCAAAATTCCAAGAGGAGAAGGAATTGCAGCGTGGCCAACGCCCCGGGGGTGATTTCTCACTTCCCCTCTCTCTCCCCCTCTGGCAAGCACATGTGCCCTATTGCCAATTCAAAAGGAAAAAGTCAGGGCCAGCAGGGAGACTTGCTTCCTAATACCTAACGCTGGGTGCTTCTGTCAGGGGAGATTCAGAGAGGGAAAAGATAGTTGGAGTCACACAGTAGGTGCCAGAGCTGGCCGCTGGCCGGGGCTCTCCCTCTGGAGCAGAAAGGCTCGTCTACAGCAGGTCCCAAAGGCCCACCTTGAAGGGGCAAGCTAGAGGGGAACTAGAGAGGTGGGAGAAGGCCCAGGGCTGCCAGACAGGGCACAGGATGTCCCATCAAGCTTGAACTTCAGATGAACGGCGAAGAGCTTTTTGTTCTATCCTTATTTGTGACAGAGCACGTGCACACACATGGACAAGTAAGAAAGGGAAAGACAAGCCCCTCCCCGGGGTCTGTCACAGCACGGCCCTCCTGTGGCCCTCCAGCCTCGGGTCTCGGGCACTCGTGTGGGCCGGCATGCCCCAGGCTGACCGGCCACGCGTTCAGACCTTAGTCCGCGTGGGCTTTGCTTCTCCCCAGCACACGCCACGACTGTGCCACCGAGCCGGACCACAGTGAATACTCTTTGGCTTTTTATTGCCAGAGAGAGTGTGTATTAACCAGAAAAAGAGGATGAGAAAGCACCTCCACGGGGACGTGGTCACGCCACCATCCTTTTCCCTCCATTCCGTCAGGGTTTGGGGCGCAACTGCGCTCACACCTGCCTGGCATGTTTTTCTTTCTTAGTGTTTGCCATAGGGCATGTGCCAGAGAGAGTGAGAGAGACATGGAACGTGAGATACCATCCTCCAGAAGGGATGGCCCAACACAGTTCTCCAGTCTCCTCCTGGTTTGGGACATGCATGTACATGTGCCCAGTGTGATTGTCAAGCTTCTGGGTCCCAGACTTGAACTGTGGAGTCGGCCATGTGGAATCCACCACCTTTTTTTTTTTTTAGGGCTTTTTGCTATAGGGTGCATGTGCTTGCCGGAAAGAGACAGAGACAGAGAGACAGCGAGAAATCACTCCCCAGGGGGATGGCCACACCACAATCCCTTCTCCTCCATTCTCCTCTCAGGATCTTGGGCACGCACGCATACGCGCCCGGCGTGAGTTTTGTTTTGTTTTGTTTTTTAATTTTTAAGAGGTTTTTGCTATAGGGCATGTGCGCTCACCAGACAGAGACAGAGAGATAGAAAGCGAGAAATA